ACCCTGGAATTTAAACTTACAAAAAATAACATCGCTCCCAAAGAAGAGTCGGAAGCAGCGAAGGAAAGTGAAGAGGGAAAGGTTTGGCTTTTTTTCTTCTTCTCTCTCCTTCCCTATACTGACAACTAAGAGACTTAAATAAGAAATCGGAAAATCCGCTTTGACGTCTATAGGCAATTAAGCTGAAAATAAAACAAAGTGCCAAAGGGATAATAAAGATTTCTGGACATTAAAAACTTTCTTTTTCATAAGCAGGAAGGGAGAGAAAAAGAATAAGGGCAGGATCTGGAAGAGGGAGGAGACTGCCTGGAATTAAAAAGAATCTAAAGTAAAACTTCAACAAGACTTCTAAAACATACATTTTAACTGAAACTTTGCAACTAAATAGTAACCCCAGGAAGAGAAAGTGAAAAAAAGAGCAAAAAAGAAACAGCCTGCATGTATTTGGATTATTTGGTGATCTTTGGATTCTTGGTTATTATATTTGAATGACTAAAATCAATCGGGTGGTTGTTTAAAAAATTATACAATGGCACCACTTCTGGATGAATTGAAAATGGAACTTAAAAAGTACAAAGAAGATGCACAAGAAGGGAAGGGTTCTTTTGGCTTCGTTTTTCAATTCTTAGAAATGGAGATTTGGAACTATGAGAAACAACAAGAAACGACTGCAGAACAAGAAGACTGGGACAAAGAAGAAGCCATCTTTAATGAACAAGCAATTTTATGTGGGGAAGAAAAAGGAAAGGGGGGAAAGAGAATGGAGAATTTAAGACTTAAAAAAACAACCAAAGAAAAATAATTCAAAAAATAAGTATAATACTGGAAAGCAACAGAAAGGGGGAATACAGAAGAGAGAAGTAGAGGTAGAGAGACAAGGGGGTAAAAAGGGGAGAGAGAAGAAGAGAGGGAAGAAGGAAAGGAAAAGAAGTTACAAAGGACCAGAGCAAGATATAAACAGGACCTATTTAGAGATAATGGGTGAAAATCTAACTGAAAAAGGGATTCTGTAAAGTTACATAAGATTGTATTGTTATATTAGTAATAGAAATAACTTTAGAAAATTGGAAACGACGTATGATTAAAATGAGGGATAAAATAATGTAATTTAGTGAAATGTTTGTGAATAAAATAAGTGAAATAAAATAAATGAGAAAATTGAATTAGGAAGGAACGGGAACATTTTAATTAGTTAATGTTTTATAAAATATAAGTGAAGGGGAGAATTAACTATGGAAAGCTTATCATTGTTCCCATAGAAGTATGATATTTAATTGAAAAGTAATGTTAAAGATGTTAAGACTTTAATGAATATTAATATTAATGATAGAATTGAATTGGAATGGAATGTTGTTTTAATTATATACATTATTTTTTTAAGAATACAGTGTGTATTTTAAGAATGTACCAAGCAGAATCCGAATGGAAGTTATGTATTATATTGAATGTTACAACTTTAGGGAAAAGATATAAAGGCGTCATACTCCAATCAGTAACTACAGGAGAAATTTTGTTTAATGAGAAAAGATAATAGATAATTGAAACAGGACAGACAAAAAATATAAATACAATGATTTGAATTGAGATGAGATAATTAAAATAAAATTGAGAAAATTAAAAGAGGGGAGAAGCTATGCAGAAAATGTAAAATAGTAATAAGATATGGAATAGAATATAAAAATGAGCATGAACCTGAATTTGTGTCTGTACGAAGAAATGTAACCTGGGATTGTGCTACTTTCAAAAAAGATGTTTTATTTGTATTTTTTTTTCTCTTTGTGAAAACTCAAATAAAATTTACAAAAAAATAAAATAAAATAAGCCAGCCTCATCTGAGAGATCCAAACTAGAAAGATAAGGAACAGAACACCCAGGGCAGAGACAGGTAGTAAAAATCTAGTGCTTAACTATGAGTGCAACTTCAAGGAAAAGTGAGAAGTTCACTAAAGCAATAAGAAAGAAAGCCCAATTAGCGAAACCCCAAGTTAAAAACTTAGGTTATACTATAAGTCAAGGCCACAGAGCTATAGGACATGAGAATAAGGAAGCTGTGTGCTGAATTGCAGAACCAACCGACAGGAGTTTTTTAAGCAGCAGGCTATTGTAGAAATTTTGCCCTGCTAGCCAAATCACTCTATGAGTCCACAAAGCGGGGAGAAAGGGAACCCTTTGTTTGGACATGTGAACAAAAACAGGTTTTTGAGACTTTAAAAAAAAATTAGCATCTCAAGCTCCTGTTATGGGACTTCCCAACCTTGATAAATCTTTCAATTTGTATGTGGACTCAAAGAATAATATGGCTCTTGTTGTCCTATCTCAAGAAAAAGGGAAGTGGCAACCACCCATTGCTAAAGAAAGAAAAAGTGGAGATTTAAAGGGACAAAACCTCCCCAGGTCTGGAAATGTGTGTGTGAATGTGTCTTGTGTGTAATCATGTCCAAACCTGGAGGATGAGACCCTCTAACAACAGTAAAAAAAAAAAGAAATGGAGCTCATTGGCTTGTGAGAAAAGGCTCTCAGAAAAGAATTGTAAGTAATGATTGATTTTCTTGGAGAAAGAATGAAATGAAATTTTTGTGTGAGAAATTGGTTATGCAAGCAGTCTGATTACAGTATAAATGTGTGAGTATGTTGATGATGAAGAAAAAAAACATTGGTGTAAACATCTGTGTGTTCACCCCCATCCCAGATTAAAAGGAGACTACTTTCATCTAAAGAAATTGCATGTACCGGGAAATGAGAAAGCTCTCATGGAGAAATGTGTTAGAGAGAGCGGGAAGAACAGAGAAAATTAGATGATAGAAAAATAAAATATGTCAGGAGTCATTGCATCTGAGGTTCCACCAAGAACACTGGATAAAATTGCAAGTGGGACCAAGAAATTGTGAAATTGAATTTTTAGTGGATACTGGGGCATCCTGGACATCTTGAAGCATAATCCCTCTGGGATGCCACATTAGCCAGAATTTGAATTTCAAAATCAAGAAATAAAAATCAACCCATGCCACATCAAATTTAAAAATATAGTTTGTAGAGAGAGATCAAATACCTTGGACACTTGATTATTGAAGGGAGTAGAAAAATAACTCCTGCTAGAATTGAGGAACTAAGACTTGAGGAAGTTTTAGGGACTGTTAGGCAATTGTCAAAAAATTGAAAACAGCACTTAAAACAGCTCCAGTTCTCTCACTACCTGATGGGAAAAAAAATAAACCCCACATTTGAGGAGAGGGCTTTGGTGGTTACAACCTAACATCAGATCAGGAACATCCTGCCTCAATGAATTAACCAATTCTCGTATCCTAAAGTATGAGGGAATCCTCATAGAACACCCTAGTTTGGTCCTCTCCATAAGCAATCACATGAACCCTGCTCAATTCTTGATGAGAGAGGGAATAAGCGAAGGAGACCAACATGATTGTGTAGCACTACTTTCTAGATGAAAGTGTCAAAGTAGTGGAAGGAGAGATGAGATGTTGTTGGGGATCCCATGCTATGGGAAGGAGGGTTTGCCTAAAACTGAGTTAACAGACAAAATTGTGAGAAAATATATTCTTGAATTGTCCCAGTCTCTCTTTTAAGACAGAAAGGGGTCCTTGCACAAACACCACCTTGGACTTTGTTGTACATAAATTTAAGGCAGGACAGTGAGTTCTAGTTAAATCTTGGAAGGAAGAAAAACTGACTCTGGTGTGGGAAGGACCTTTCTTAATTCCACTCACTACTGAAACAGCTGTTGTACAAAAGAAAAAGGGTGGACACATTTCTCAAGGCTTAAAGGGCTCGTGCCAGCTCCAACTGAGTGGAGAGTGGAGTCTCACCAAGGAGATCCACTGAAGATTACACTCCGAAAGAGCTAAATGAGCTAGTGGGCAACACCCTTGCCCTTAGTGGTGATAATACTGATAATTGTTGGATTGTATTTTTTTTTCTATTTAGGAAAGAGTGGCTGCCGATGTTATTTCCCCAACTTAAAATAACAACCACAGAACAAATCCCACTGCTAAATTTACCTGATGTGCTCGTCTTATAATTGTCTTGAGACTGGTGTAAATACTGAATGTTTGGATGGTGGGAGTTGTGAAATTACACTGAGTGAGGACTTTCACAATCAAAAGTAACAAAAAGGAATTAGGTTATCTCCTTTTGAAATGATGTTTGGAAGACCCCCTGTCATAAGTACTAGTTTGAGAAATAATATAGGGAATTAAAGTCAATTAGGGGATTTATGGGTGAGTCTAATGAGTGAAGAAGCGCCCCCTATAACTGCCCTACTGGCAATGGGCAGGCAACATACGGGGCAGAAGAGGCCTTACTGGTGTCACTCCGGAAGATGACCCTCTATGTACGGCTGAAAATAAGAACAAGTAAAACTGATGTTAATGTGTTAGGGATAGAATGTGTGGTGGAAAGATATATTCTTTTGAATTCTTTTAAAGGATTTTATGTATCAAAAATGGGGTTGGACTAGATAACCGAGAGGGTCCCATATTTTAAAAGCTGATATGTTTAAAGTGCTTATCTGAGTTGAAGAAACCACAACATGTTTCTTGCTCAGTTGCCTAGCTAAGAGTTTCCTGTTGAGTGTGGTCAAACTTCCCTGTCTCGATAGAATACCTAAACTGCAAATATGCTTCAAAAGGAAAGGAAGCTCTTTTGACTTCGACTTATCTGAGAAGGATTTGGAAATGTCTACTTTCACAATAGAAAGGAAGGAGAGAAGCTTTGTATCAAACTTTTATGGGACCAAAGTGGCCTAAGAACACATGAACAATTTAGGAACCTTGAAAAAAGCAACACAACCAAGACCAACAGTGTGACTGCAACTAGCCCCTAATAAATGGGAAAAGCTAACTCCAGCATCAATAGCCAGAGTTGGGAGATGAACATTAATTTGTAAAGCAAAAGAAAAGAATTTCGGAAAAATGCTGAGCTTAAAATATAACTAGTAGAAATATAAGCTCTCTATGCAACTTATAACTTATAACAGGAGAAAGCATTTTTTGCAGATAGATATATATAACTTACTGCAAGTCAGCTAGGTGTCGAAAGAACCTTAGCACCGTGCAACAGGAAGAAGGGAGGAAGAAATTGTCTAAAATAGCTTCAACAAGACATTTGTGTGTTTTGCGTATGTGTGTGTGGAATCAAATATGGGAGATTAATGGAATCCAACAAATTTGGATTGTGGGTGGCTATTGTTTTTTGCCCAATGGGACTGGACTGAGCGAAGTTCTAATAAAAATGTGACTAGTAGTTGTTAGGGATACACCCTAGCAAGTTCTGCAGGGCAGTCAGGCAGGCAGGCAAAATATGTGTGAGATAAACGTTGTGTAGCTTACACTCAGTAAAAACAGATACAAGTGCTAATTAAATAGTTTTATTCCAGCAAGAGTTAAAGCATAGTCAAAAACAGTCCATATATCATTCACTTAGTTCAGTCCGTCCAGGGATTATGCAGTTGCAAATTCCAGTGTCGAAAAAGAGAGGTCAGTACACTTACAAATATCAGTCCGGTGATATATCTCCTCGCAGTAGAGAGATATGAATAACTCAAACACTCCTCTCCTCTTAGAACACTTACTCTCACTCTTAGAACACTCTTAGAAGTGTGTTATTGTAAGAATCATGAAGCAAATAATAGCAACTGGACTACCCCAGAAGTTATGTATAGGGAATGTGAAAAATATGCCAATACTAGCCTCCCCACTGGGTGGTTTGGACTCTGTGTAATGAGATTCGTAAGGCCAATCTTTCATTAAAGCAACATAGGTGAATCCATATCGAAGGAATGAATTCAGGCTTGGAAAGCAAAGAGCCCTTGAATCCCTAGATACCAAACATAGTGATGCCCCGGATACTTGAAACTCTAGAAGGGCCTACACATAGGTGGAGGATGGCACTCTGGGAGCTAATGGACATACAATTAAATTTGACTACAAACTGTGGTAGAAACCCCCATGAAAGAGGTGACTGCAGTCTTGTGAACGTTAGCAAAAGAAAAGTGTGGAAAATAACATTGTGCAAAACCAGCTAGCCCTAATAAAAATTTTGGAGCGTAGCAAATTGGGTTGGTGAAGGATTAAACAAAGTCTGCTGTATTAGGATTCTGGGTTCTAATGTTTCTCTCCTCTTTGATTCCCTTTATAAGAGATGTGGTACTATCAAAGTTTAAAAGAATCAAAAGTAATAAAAGAAAAAGGGTGGCTTGAAGGATGTGGATCAAAGAAATATTATTTTGAAATCTTTTAAATAATTTATATTATGTATAACAAGGGGGTGTGGATTGGATGACCAGGAGAGTTCCTTCTTTGCTAAAATGCTTGCTCATAACAGTCATTTTTAAACACTTGTTTAAGCTGAAAAAAAAAGTTACCACAAATATTTCCTACCTGGCTGCTTGCTATAAGGTTTCCTGTTTCGATAGAATACTTGAACCACAAGTTCAAAAGGACATTCACTATAGAGTAAAATAGAATAGAATTCAGAATAGAAAAAATTCAGAATAGAATAGAATTGAATTCAGTCTAGAATAATATTCAGAATAGAATAGAATAAAATTCAGAAAAGAATAAAATTCAAAATATATTAGAATTCAGAATAGAACAGAATTCAGAATAGAACAGAATTCAGAATAGAACAGAATGGAATTCAGAATAGAATAAAATTCAGAATAGAATATAATTCAGAATGGGATAGAATAGAATAGAATAGAATAAAAAATGAATAGAATTGAATAAAATTCAGAAGAGAATAGAATTCAGAAGAGAATAGAATTCAGAATAAAATTAAATTCAGAATAGAACGGAATTCAGAATATAATAGAGTAAAATTCACAATAGAATAAAATTTGGAATAGGATAGACTACATTAGAATAGAATAGAATACAATAGAATAGCATTCAGAGTAAGAAAGAACTCAGAATTGAATAGAATTCAGAATAGAATAAAATTCAGAAGAAAATAGAATTCAGAAGAGAATAGAATTCAGAAGAGAACAGAATAAAATTCAGAATGGAATAAAATTGAGAATAGAATAGAATAAAACTCAGAATATAATAAAATTCAGAATAGAATAGAATAAATTTCAGAATAGAGTTGAATTCAGAATAGAATAGAATTCAGAATAGTATAAAATTCAGAATGGGATAGGATAGAATAGAACAGAATTCAGAATACGAAAGAACTCAGAATAGAATAAAATAGAGAATAGAATAAAATTCAGAATATAATAGAATAAAATTCAGAATAGAATAAAATTTGGAATAGAATAGAATAGAATAGTTCTCAGAATAGAATAGAATAAAATTCAGAATAGAATAAATTTCAGAATAGAATAGAATAAATTTCACAATAGAATTGAATTCAGAATAGAATAGAATTCAGAATAGAATAAAATTCAGAACAGAATAAAATTCAGAATATAATAGAATAAAATTCAGAATAGAATAAAATTCAGAATAGGATAGAATAGAATAGAATAGAATAGAATAGAATAGAATAGAATAGAATAGAAAATGAATAGAATAGAATTCA